GACGATCATGCAGACAAATGTTTTCGATTTTCTATTATTTGAAATTAAATGTAATTGAAAAAAAAAACATTATCATGTATGTATAACGTTTTATTCTTATGTTCAATTCAGTAGTTCATAAATACTAATGCTTATGTATTTATGTAATATTTGAAAACCAACAAAATAAACAAAAAAGAAACTGCATCTTGTATTCGTAATTAAACACACATTCATATTTGTAGTTATAGCCAGCATCCATTCAAAATATGAGTATTTTTTAAATATATCTACATTGTAGATACAAACATTTCGATAACCATATCGGTTTTAACACAAGATAATTTGATGAATGATGTATGTATATGTATGTATTTTATATGAGTTTCCATGATATCCAAAGCCTCCCGTTAACATAACAATGTTTATTAGAACATTTCTCATGAAACAGAGAAATTTATATATCTATATATATATATTGAAAACAATCTTTAAATATGTATGTGTGTCTATGATTATAAAGCAATTTACTTAAATGAACAAATAGATATTTCTATAAAATATAATAAAACGTGAAATCCAATTCAATCTATGAGTGTGAAAATAAAGGCATTTGCCATTATTATAAACATAAACGAAGATGTGTTTTAATGAGATGTGTGTGGTATTAGTCATGGATTACAAACAGTTCTTATTATATACACTAACTAATGAAAACAAATTGGTAAACTTTTATAGAAAAAAAAACGATATCAAAAACTGAAAACCTTATCGTATACCAAGTCCAACGGTTATAAATGGAATTGACCTTATTTGTATGATTGTCACCGTATAAAGCAAAGAATAAATCTAGTGTATTTAAAACGGATGGTCAATTCATATGAAAGCTTTTCTAATACATGGACATCAATTCTTAACTCTTAGTCGGAAAATGTGGTCACGGACTTCAAAATACCTTATATTGGGACCACATTAAATGGAACCAGGCTAATTAATCAAGAGCAGAAGATACTACTTCGTACACGCTATGAAAATCAAACATAGAAACCCTATGGTGAATTAAAATATCTTTTAAATCTGCATAAATATCTACATGACCTACACGCCAGCGATGATTACGAACAGATTTTTTCTCAGAGGTCTGATTGATTATTGGCTGATTTCAAAAGTCTGTCAATAAACAAATAGAGAGTAAATATTTAAGAAAAATAAAAATATGTATATATTTTCGGTATATATGAGTGTGAGAATTGATGCAACATTCGTTGGCGAAGTAAAAGACTCGGGACATGTGGGATAAGATACATTCAGTGTCTGACTCAGCTAATTTATCAGCAGGTTCATCTATGACACATTGCATGATCATAAAGCTTCATTTTAATTTCCGTTATATGATTAAATGTACATTCGAAATTTTGCAAAAAGTTCGGGACACTAGCAGGTCCGATATACAGTTTCGCCCGATTTTAGGTTAATGGTGCACCAAAGTGCCTGAAAATCATTCGATTTGCACGAATTTTGGCATAGCGAATAAGTCTAGTATGATGTGTGCAAAGTTTCGAGAAAATCGGTTTAGATTTAGATATAGCTCCCATATATATTTTCGTTCAATTAAATGTAAATGGTGTACCAAAGTCCCTATATATTTTTCGATTTGTACGAAATTTGGTATAGCCAACTGAATTAAGTCTAGAATGATGTGTGTAAAGTTTCGCGAAAATCGTTTCAGATTTAGATATATCTCCCATATATATTTTCGTCCGATTTAAGGTAATTGGTGCACCCTATATCTTTCGATTTGCACGGATTTTGGTATAGTATACTGAACTAAGTCTAGAATGATGTGTTAATGTTGCACTAAAGATCCATAGCTAGGCCGATTGACACAACGTACTGAAGTTAATATAAATTAATCTCAAGCAAGTTCCTTGAAATCGGTTCTGATATCTATAGAATAGCTTCCATATATAATTTCGACTTATTCATGTTAATTGTACACCAAATAATCAATGCGTGTCTGATTGAGATTAAGTTTTACTTTAAATCGATTTACAAAATTTAGCATAGGTTGCAGAATGACATGTGTAGGGATTGGTGTTAGTCGGTTTACATATAGATAAAAATCACATATTTAAGTTCGTTCAATTTCATTTCAAAGTTCCTTCAAAAAGGCGACGTCTTTTAGGATATATATGTAGAATATACCCAAAGTGGTGAAGGGTATCATATAGCCGGCCCAGTCCGACTTTACTACTTTCCTTACTGGTTGGATATGGGTTGAAAAAATGTCAAACACAACAATTGGATGCGTATATTTATTTTATATTTTGGCAAAAAAAAGCCACCACTTACATAGTTCTTTTTTTTATTCAACTCAAGTTGCCCTACCTTGTATCATGGCATGGTACAATAATACAAGGTAGTGCAGCTTGAGGTGAATAACAAAAAATCAACTATGCACGTGTGGCCTCTTCTGCCAAAAATAAAATAAATATACGCAACAAGTGTTTGTGTTTATTTGACATTTTTTCAACACAAAACTAAAAACGCGAAAAATGAATGAAAGGTTATGATTTCTTCCCAAAATCTAGTAGGGAATACCATAAAATGTTTTTTTCATCCATAACAAAGTAATTACTTCCAGACAAACGTGTTAAAAACTTTATTTTCATTCCAATTAAACTTGAATATATTTTAATTTATTTTGAATTTATTTGACATAGTATTCAAAACAATACACACACATACACATAATATGTATTTTGATTTGATTGAACAAGCCACCTTGAGAAAAAATTGTAATCAGTTGGTAGCTGTGCCCTACCTTGTAATTATTATACCATGTATCATGGGGCTACCATAAAAAGTGGACCAATACCAAACATTGTAGGAGTAATTGGATTAATGTATATATATATAATAATAATGATTATCACTGACATTTGGTATGTTCTCGTACTCAAGAAGTGGTAAAACTTTTCAAAGTTATAAAAAGAAGTTCGAAAGAATTATTTGATTGATAGTATATTGCCGTAGTTTCTGGAACAGAACTTGTGTTAACAAATATTTCATCATGTGAACTTCTTAATAAAAAACATCTGTTTTTATAATCAATTAAACAGCTGACTAAATCTAAACAAATCAAAATAAATACAAATTAATATGAATTCAATTTGAAATTTTACGTGTTCACTTTGTGTTCAAATATTTATATTCTGCTAATATATAAATTTATTACAAAACAATATAATTAAAAATATTATTTTAATTTTTAGCAACAAAAATTTATAAACAAAAAATCTTCGTAAAATGACAAAAATTCAAAAAATTACGACTGAAGATTGGACGGTAAGTTATTAATTCAATTAATACAGGAAATTACTGTAGTAATTGACCTTCTTAATATGGCTTTTGTTTTTTCGCTGCAAGGATCTGCCTTTACACACAGTTATCTTTGAATGGCTACACAAGAATATCTCCGTTCCGTCGGATATAAGTAAATTTATTGCTTATATTGCAATGTTTCTTATACTCTGGTATACAATAGTGTGGACGACAAGATTTGTTATTAGCATTATATGGCCGCTATTTTTAATAACTTCAGCAATTGTGAGAAGATATAAAGAATTAATTTTAAATTCAATTTCTATATTTATGTATGTTTTATATTATAGGTTGTATTTCGTGTACTACAGTACTATGATTTGGATGAAATTACGGAGCTTATAAAACAATCATTTACCTATGCTGCGGAAACATTTGTAAGATATTTTTCGTGATTATTTTGTAGTTAATATAAGCTGTACGTTAGAATGAAATGTGTGTCGGCAAGTTTTTGATACAGACATTTTGGGTTATAAATAAAATTATTTTCAAATTTAAATGGAAACAGCTATCGTTTGTACAGTTATATTTTTAAGATTCTCTAATAGATACCAATTAATTGCCCTAATGTAAGAGTTTGTACAGCGTCAAAAATACCAGTCATCGTTTGTATAGATGTATGATGTAGATGATGAAAATGTTGCTACGGAACATTTAGTATATTAATTGCTAAGCTAAAGGAATTGGTATCCTTAGCATTATTTCTCTTACTATTCTATTCCTTCGTTGTCATAAACCTTTCATTACAGGAACATCAATTACAATAAAATAGCGAAATCGTTAGTTTGTCGTATTTACAAATAAAAAGAAAATGTGAATTTTAATCTCGAATTATCGTTATGTATTAAAAGATTTATCGAGACACTATCATATATATAGTGTATAAGGTTTCTGTAAAATCTCTGGATCAGTTATAACAAATCCATTTGGCTAAATCATTACATATATTCGAATTCCATTTTCGATATTAAACATTCTAAAATTTCGGGATATATCAAATCATAAAAAAATCACCGCCCTTACAGGCAAAAACTAAAATAAAAGTTTTGAGTTATATGCATAATATTGAGGGATTTATCATAATAAAAGGAACAAAATCCTCAATTTTGAATATTATACCAAATCATGAATACATTCAGTCTCAATAATAAATGTGGTACATTTTTTTCCAAATTTCTTTACTAATTCTTTTACTTTTTCATTTTTAGGTTACGGGCATGGCAAAGGCTTTAGAAATTATTTTGAATGTCTTTCAATAAATGGAAATAAAATGTATACTCTTCTATCAGCACAAATATGAGATATGGAAAAAATTGAAATATCTAAATAAAAGAAACACATGCTGTGTTAATATGCCATCAATATATTTAAATTTTATTAAATGTATATGTCAAGGTATACTCTGCACTGTATACTCTTCCATCAGCACAAATATGAGATATTGAAATAAATTGAATAAGAAACACATGCTGTGTTAATATGCCATCTACATATATATTTTATAAATTTTGTTAAGTGTATATGTCAATATATATGTTTTTAAAATTGTAAATAAACTATTTTACACAAATTTATATTTATACAAAATTTTTTGTTTTTCTTTTTCATTATTAAATTTAACGCAATTAAAACAAATAATGCCTGTTGCTGTGCGTTTAGTTGAGGTCTTGACGTTAGTTACGCTATTGGGCATATTGACGGGATTTTCGATTTTTATTGTTGTGGCACAAAGGCTTATATTTTTGTTGTTACTCCTAATAACGGTAAGTATTTGTACTTTACATTTATGTATGTGTTAAGAAATGTATGTAAACATGAATTTTTGTTGTTGTTACAGCCATTAACCTATGTTATCCATAGTATGTTGTGTTTATCGGAGAAGATTCTTGTGGTAACCCTAACTGGGCTATTAAGTGTAACAAATAATGTTGGAGACAATATGGACTAGTACATGGTGTTATTAAACATTTGTACACTCATCCGTTTATAATATTGGTTGTCTTCTTGTACGGGTTAAAGTTTGAAAGTAATTTTCATCGCGGACCCAAATCAACTACAATATATTATGTGGAAATAGCAATATTATTATCTCAATATTATTTTTTCTGAATATCGTAAAAATTAAACAACCATTAGTATGAATGTTTTATTATATTCCTTATATAACAATGTTACATGTAGGTGCAGAAATTTAAGTTTAGATAATAGTAAAGGTACTAACTCTAATACAATTGATAATGTGTGGATATGTGAAACAATCAGGTGAGGAGTTGGTAGTAGAAACATACACTCTCAGTGTAACGAAAGTTTTGAATCGTAATACATGTATTACGATTGAAGCTAGGTTTACGAATAGAATTTTCGTTGAGTATCGTTTTGAGTATTGACATGATTACTCAACGTTTGCACAATAATATAATTTCAGAAGATGAAAGAATTATCAAAACAAGATATGTTGAAAAAAAAACGCTAGCATATGGGTTTTTATGCTGTAAGAACACACAATGCCATTTCACAAACATTCAATATGGGGTCAAAACATATCAAAATATGAATATATATAAACAATTTTCTGCCAAGAAGACCTGGAAAACTAAAATACAACACTTTCGGTCTTCAAATGGGAATTCGATTATAAAAATTCTAAAAATATGTCGGAACTCTTATATGGCGGTTATCTCCAAACGAGAACCGACATTGAATAAAATCAAATACTTTAAAAACATGAATTGAATTCGATGCCAAATATCTTTAAAATTTAATTTCAATTCAAAGGATTAGACCGATGTGTCCCGGTCTATTCCTTTTGATACTGAACTTTTCACAACATAATATATTAACTTATGCCTGTGCAATGTTTTAATATGGGACTTATTGGTTTAATCCTTCTAGTACCTTCCCCACAAAGATTCGAAATTTTGAAATATGGAGCGAATGGAATATCCGATTTCATCAAAACTTTTTCATATATATATTTCATTTCGTTGATCAAGCTTAAAGATGGGGTCTGCTGGTATACGCCGAGCATCAAAAACGCTGCTGGTGCTAGAACAATCGATTTGATATAATAAATGCCAATATAAATCGATATTTCCTGATATAAGGGTTTCGAAATCGAATCGATCCTTTAGGTTAATTCCAATTTTTGGAGTTTTTATTTCAAATATTTATTTATTTTAAAAATTATTTATTGTTTTCTATTAATTCTGGCTATTTCTGGTACATTCTCACTTTTATTTTGTATGTCTCAATTTAGATTGGGCGAGTTTACTTGCGGCAAGTCTTTGTTTGCTGGAGAGAGGGGCAAAGGGAATAGAAATGGAAAAAAATTGCTTGTACCGACAATTTTCTGGCAATTCGTTTTGTGTATGTCGTATTTGTTGACATTTTATATTTATTTAAATGTGAAAAAAAACTATTGACATAAAATGAAAAAAGAAATATTTTCGAAACCGAATTGCCTTGTATAGAAGCATGACGCAGGTTCAAAAGGGAACGATAATAATTGCCGCAAGTAAACTCGCCTAATATAAATCAGGACTATATATTAAGGTAAGGCGATCATATTTTGGAAATGAAAATAGATGACATCAAGAAATAACTACATTTTTTTTTTGAAAAAAAGATCTAATCTAATCGAAATTGTTTGAGATTTCTCTCCATATATTTCGAAAGGTTTTTCACTTTGCAATAAACAAATTAGTAAACATTTAGGGCACTGCAAAATATTTCGTATACGACTTGACAAAAAAAAAAATAAAAAAAATAAATATATATATATATATATATATGACTAAAGATGACAGATTTTAGAAATAGATGATAGAGGATGATAGAGGACATAACTTTTATAGATGACATCCAGTTAAAATAGGTGATGGTCCTCTTAAAAAGAGGACGTATGGTCATCTTAATTAACACTTTGAGCCCCGATTTTTTCCGCAATCTTAGAACAAATTACTGTTAACAGATTTAATGCAACTATTCCAAATAGGATATGCTAAAATTTGATATCGCTACATAATTGCATTGGGGAGATACAATACATTCTTTTGGAAAAAATTAAAACCAATATAAAGGAAACCAAATGCAAAATCGACAGAAAAATCATTTTAAATTATTCTCTATATTCATTTTTACAAGAACCAAAAATAATTCTGATGGCAGGATATTGAAATGCTAAGAACTTTAGCCTGGGTTTCTATATGCAACTTTTTTCTCTTTTGAAATCCTCACTTTTTATACTTCTCACTTCTAAAAACTCAGCAGAGTTGCTTACAAAAGTTACATGTATAAATACAGACTTACAAAAATGTTGATTCTTTTTGGTTTTTCTTTTGATATGTGTCGCCAATAATCAGGTCTTGACATATAAAATCCATATAAAATCCATATATATATATATATATATATACTAGCTACATAATTAATATGAACTCTAAAACATTGCCTGAGGGCAACATTGGGCCACAAAGGGTTAAAGGTGATTTTCCGAACGTTAGGTGTACTGTACAAATTGTTGCCAATTTCGATAGACTTTACAGTTTTTTAATTTTATATATGTAATCGATTTTATTGGTGCTTAGTTTACTTAATTTGACAAATTTAAGGGGTTTTTTTAATATTTTCAAAAAATGCAGTAAAGTAAAAAGCACAAAATGGTTTAACCCTTTGAGGCCCAATGTTGCACAGAGACAATGAAATGTTTTAGAGTTTATATTTAATACATATCTGGTACATTTATATTTTTAGATTAGGTCTTGACATACCTGATTATGGACGACACATATCAAAAGTAAAATCTAAAGAATTAAAATTTTTGGTCACGATATGCGCTTTTCAATATAAATAAAAGGGAAAAATGTGTATACAGTATTTTTCGGTTAATTGCACATCAAAATTTGCACAATTTTTTGTTCAATTAACCGAGGAACGAATTATCCGATGCCCACTTAATTGAACTGTTTGTTCAATTACAGAAATATGTGATCTTTATCTATCTATGTATATTTAGGCAAATCAAGAGATATATTGGGACTGTGGTGCACCATTTACATTAAATCGGAAGAAAAAATATATGGGAGATCTGAACCGATTTCCCCGAAACTTAACACACGTTATGCTAGACTTAATTCAGTACGCTATGCAAAATTTCGTGCAAATCGAAAATATGTAGAGGCTTTGGTGCAACATTTACATAAAATCGGACGAAAAAAAAATATATAGGAGCTTTATCTAAATTTGAACCGATTTTTCTCAATTTCAATAGGGTTCGTCCTTGGGCCAAATACATTTTGTGTACCAAATTTCATCTAAATCGGATTATAAATGCGACCTGTACTTTGTTTAGAATTTAACATCAACAGACGGACGGCATGCATAAATCGACTCAAAAAGTGATTCTATTCTATAAAAACGCCAGATTATTTTTCAATAATAATGCAATTAACCGGTGAAACATAAGAGGAAATTTATTTTCGATGTCATGGATTTTGAACAAATTAAAGGGGAAAATAAATTAACAGGGTTTAATTATTCGAAGAAATTTACATGTGTTTTCATATGCAATATTTTTTTTGCCCCATCATGTGGTTCAATTAAGCGGGGAAACCAATTAACCGTAGGGTCAATTAACCGAAAAATACTGTATTGTGTATACAGTACAAATACAGTACAAATTATTTAAATCGCTTCGTATTCGAATTTTACGAATTATAACCTAAAAATTCTTTGTCATTTTTGTATAAATCAACCTAAAGAGTAATTTCAGTGACTTTTTTCTCCGATATTCCATTAGCTTTTCTTGATTGTAATTTTATTTCTTGGAAAGAATGTCTTGAATCTCCGGAACGTTATATGACCACGGAAAAAAATTCGGGGCTCAAAGGGTTAATTATGTGGCCACTTCAAAGTTGATTTTGTTCATAATTTTCTATTTTCACACTAAATTTCTTAGGTGCAGTATATCTAAGTGTTCTGAATAAAAAAATTAAATACTTCTAACGAATGTATGTAATTCCTCATTTCATTTTCCTGTCACACTTGGCCACTTTTAATATGTCCACACACACGGATGTATGCATGTGTGAGTGTAGATCAGGGCTGTCCACACTAATACATTCAAATTTTGTGATTGTGATTGTTTCGAAATACACACATTTCAAAGTTTTCTAGTAAACTGTGAGAAATATTGTTTTATTTTTTTCTGTTTTCGTTTCGTTTTGGTCCTTTTTTTAAGTGTAAAGTAATTAATTTATTGTTGATGTTGAAATTTCTTGCATACCAAGTGAGCGTTGATTCTTTTATCCAATAAACCTTCAAATTCATTAACATGAATGCAATTATTAGAATTGCTCTATAACAAGAATGAATATAAATATTTGAGAAGAAATTAAAAAAAGAAGTCAAAAATATTGACAAAATGCATTTCATTCAATATAATGGACCGAGTAATCGTTAATAGACCAAAATTAATTTGGATACCATTACAGGCAAAGGAATTACATGCGCCCCATCAGAACAAACGCAAACAAACTTAGATTTATCAGCAAAGTCGAACACTTCCTCATAAACAGCATTATAAACATCAATTCCCCGTACATGGCCGTGTTGGGATACTAATCTCAGTATTTCTTCGTGGCACAGAAGGTCGTCGTCTACCGCACTAACGCATATCAAGAGTTAGGAAATGTCGCCAATATCGGTTGTCTCATCTATACATATAGAAAAATATTTGCACTTCAAAATTATATTTTTAATATTTGTATGGATGAAGTCACTGATAGATTCTGTCCTACGACTGACGGTATTTCGCGACAATGGAATGTCATTTAATAAATTAGAACACTCCTGAGCTTTTTCTCGAAATATATGCAAAACTTCCAGACAGAGTTCTTTGAAAAACATGCCGTCAACAAATGGGCGGCATTGTTTTGCCAATGCCGCAGC